GGACTTTAATTCGAACTTTGACAATGACTTTTGCTGATAGAAACTTCGATATCGACAAACACTAAATTTCTTCCTGTGTTAAGATTGCAGTAATATTTTTTTCAGCCTTTACAAAGCCTTTTTGCGAATGATGTGCTTTCTATTTGGATGATAAACATTTACAGGAGGTTCGCGGCTCTGCCGTCGTTGGTGAAACGGTAGTAATAACACCGATATCGATTCCGTCTCCTTCAGACGAGTCACTAACAATGAACCTTCCCACTGATCTTTATAAATCGCCACCTTCTCTCGAGACGCATTCAACTGCACGTCCTCTTGTGACCGAGTACCCTGCGTCGAAAGCTACGACTACGATTCCAAAGCAAACTCCGTCCAAAAGGTGCCGTTCAGTTTCTTTTTTGTTTTCCATTTATTATATTGTGTCCGCCTTGTTAGTGTGCGATAATTTTTTCTTTCAAATTTGAAAACCTGCTGAAGCAATGTTCTCATCGAAAGCCATGCTATTTTCAGGCTCTTGACTCAGGAGCATAACATTCGCGCGTCATCGGGTGATGGTAGGTTTCTCTGACATAAATGACTCATGAAGAAGGGACGTTCTCAAATCAATATTTGCAGTTGTGAATAAAGAAACGCAGCAAGTGGCTTTCCGTGTTCCATTCTTGCCTACTCCGCGTTTGGCTTCTCCTCCAAACCTTGCCTCTTCGAATGCTAGAGTTAGTGCTTTTATTTTTGGGGATATTTTGTTTTGCGAGGAAACGCTGTCCATCTATTCCCGTGCACTTCGAAGTGTTCTTTCCCTATTGTTTATCGGTTAGCAAATTTTCGGTTGTCAAGATTAGTGTGGTATGCTTGCAGATAGACTGTGCCAATATCGAAACAAAGCGGAAAGCGTCGTCCCGACCAACGTCCCCGAAAGGCCTGCTCTTTCCATTACCGCGGCGGGTTCGTCAATTTGTTCATGTTGTATTTCCGTGATGCTGTTATCCTTATGATGCTGATTGTAGGTGCTGAATTCCTCTTCAGCCGATGAGGATCGAAGTGAACAATTCTCTGTCCTTAACAAGCCATCAAACGCGCGTGGTGCAGATTCGAGTTTAAGTTTGACTAATCGCGACGAAAGTTTTGAGCCGTCGAACGAAATGAAAGCAGCTATTTTAAATTCAACCTGTGATGAAGATATGGTGGGTTGCAGGAAACTTCTTCAAGAGCCTTACTCACCACTCTTCCTGCTCTCTTTTTCTTTGTTTATTTGATTTTTTTTTTCGCAGGAAGCTACTATTGGTCGACACCTTCGCCTCCGCCCATCCGTTGCCTTTATTCAAAAGCAAGGCATTGTTCGAGATAGAGTAAATATGTTCCGACAACTTGGAAATTCGATGTCGGTACCTCTAGCCAGTCAGTGGGGGAGGGTTAGTTTTTTCGATGTGTTTACGTTCTTTATGGCCCCATTATGTTTTTCGGGTTTAGGTGCGTGAATTCATGAAAGTTAAGCTATTGGAGGTAGAATAAGGTCACCTCAGCAGATTCTCACCTGCCCTTCCGTTACATCTTAGTGCTTTTGATTAGGCGTGTTTTTGTATTTCTAGTACACTGGTGCGCAAAACTTATAGACGAAAACTTTTGACTTCTGAGCATGCATAGAGGGAAGTTTACAGTGTGACTAATTCTTGCATGCTGCAAATCGTAAGTCCGCTGCCGCTGTACCTAACCAGTTTAACACCACCTGTTCTTCTGAAGCAGGCTCCTGTTCTTCCTGAGACCGTGTCCTATCCTTTCCCCGTCCTAGGAGAACAAAAAATCCCTTCACGTTTTCTGTCTTTCTGACAAATATCGCTCTGAGGGTGCACGTTTTTAATGTGTATATGCGTACAAAAGTAAGCGTGTACGTAGTAAGGGATTTGCGTCGTCAAATCCAATAGATTCAAAGGATTCTTTCGTTCCCTTTGCCTGGGGGAAGGATGGGATACGGCCCTTGAAGAAGCTGTGTTTCGGAACGTTCTCCTTGCGCACGAAATATCGCAGTATACAACACAGCCTCTTCTGCTGCGCATGTCACACTTCGACCTCTCCCAGATTTCCGCTAATTCTTTCCAGTATGAGGGCGTTCATTTGTATCCTGCGGGCCTTGTGACACCATCATTTTGCACCGTTCACTGAGGAGAGAGGAACAACTCCAGATCGAACTGGTGGAGTTACAGCTCGACAATGAAATTATGGGTGCAGAACCGATTGAAAATGAAAAAAGAACCTAAGCAAATAACCGATGAACGGATGTGAATCAACTGCTACGCTATAATTGACGCTGCGTATCATGGGTGTGCACGAGGTATCTCGTCTGTAAGCTCACTTTTTGAAAGCGAGCAACACAGGTGCGCCATTGTTGCGCACTTTCGAGCCGTGACAACAGCACATCTGTGATGCTCGTGGGCTACTGTGTCCACCCCCACCCCCCATAGGTTCTTCGACCTGACCTCTGAAGTTTTCGCTTTACACGCTTGTCTTTTCTCATTTCATTAAGTGCCTCACTTTGCGCAACTCTCGCCATTCTGCGCCATATCCAAGCTGCTTTGAAGTCTTGTGATCACCACCTTTCTG